ATTGTCTGGCACCACATTTTCGCGAGAAATGGCTCAAGGATTATAGGCAAACACGGTTTGCCCTTTGATGTTACTAATAAATCCAATAAGACACGGATCAGTGTTGATAGCATGCCAGTAAAAGTAAAGCGCCAGCCGTGTGGATGCTTAATTTTCATTAAATGTGTCGCACGAGCCAGATTGAACCTTCGCACGCATGGTCATCTTAACCCCTTGCCTTTCCAACGTGCGCCATTACGAACACGTTACCGGCAACGTTGCGAACACGAATACGGCCGTGGGTGCTGCTCCCATAAACAAGTTTTACTCACTCACTTTTCCACCCCATCCAGAGGACTCGGCAGGTCTACCGGACTGACCGCGTCGCCTCATCCACGCTGCGTTCAACCACCACCACGACCGCCCCTACACACCGCAGGTCACCACAACTCACCCACTCGTTCACTTGCGCACCGCCGATTAGCACGGTTGGATTCGTACGGTGCGAACTAATTTTTTTACATAAAAACACTCGAACGCTATCCCACTCACAAACCGACTCGCTCCTCGCTCACTCGCTCACCGTGATGCCGGTCACAACGCTTCTCTTTCTGCTTTTTCTCTCTAACTGCTCCACTTTCGAATTCCTTCCCATTGTCTGCGCTCCCAAGTTCATATAATAACCTTGCTCAATTTAAGACACGTATTCACTCTCATCAATTTTACCTGCAAGAGTGCTGTTTGTTGCTGGCTGCTTGGCATTTTGGGCCTTTGTGCCTGTGCTCACCTACCTTTATTTAACACCATAGTAATTAGACATACATTTCTCACTTTTGGTGTTTACTCGACAATTAATTATATCAGTAAATGTTTTGGAATTTGCTTTATATGCATTTTCAACAATACAGTACACATTTCGCTTGGCATTACTCACACTACGTATCAGTGACTCCACTGAAGCCTATGATTGGCATCTTACAGGTGTCGGTCTTGTTTTAATTTACTTTATAAATGCATGGGGGCGGGGGGGGGCGGAGTGGGGGAGGAGGTCAAGCTCGACGCTAATTTAATATTTTAAATATCTGCCGCAACACTCAATGGACGACTTTGTGAACTACACACAGGGGGGCTCTTATTGTCTACTTTCAGGGGTCACAGCACCGCTCTTAACGCCCTTAACTCGGTCCAACGCCACCACTGAACACCGGCGAGCCACCTCCAGGATTAGCCAGACATGACTCTCCCCCATTACATTTCCTCTTGCCGCAATGTGCAATGTCCCTCTACTCCCGATGGGTGATTGATGCTCCCCCGGTGAGATTCTCTGTTAAAGGTGAGTGTCTCTCACTGCGTCGGTCACGCAAGGACCAGCGGGCGGTCCATCGTCAGCGTCCAAGAGGCGTTAAGGCCGCCTGCACATCAAAATTAACCTCAAATTCGTTCACGCTTTTCTTTGTTTCTTGTCTCTGCAGCCGCTCCACGCAGATCAACGTGCGAGCATGTGGGCAGCGGGCGTCGGGAAACGTGAACAAATGTCACGATAGCCTGCTGGCAAATGAACTAAAAATAAAATGTGTAGGCAACAGTGGGCTGCATACGGCAGACTGAATGGTTATAGCCAGCAGAGCCAAATCACGGCACAAAACCGGCCAAAGGCAATCTGGGTTTCATTTCACTTGCTTGTATTTTTTTCTGGAACGCATTACCGGGTTTTCGAGAGGCTAATGTTTCACCCACAGCTGTAGACCTCAAGAACTTTGCGACGAAATAATAACGTTTCGTTGCGCTCTCCACGCGCAAGTGATTGTGTTTGAAACATTTCACGCAGCGGGCGCTTTTCTGAAGGTTGGTCCGTCGCTTGCACACCGCGCCGTGCTTCCGAGTCGTGTTTGCAGACCGTGCACAAATTGTGCGACTGACCAAGGCGCTGTCTGTGCGTGCGTGCGTGCGTCACGGCCAGACATCACTTGCATCACTTACACAACGCGTCGGCAGTTGCACGAGTTTCTTTGTGCGCGCGTGTGCGTGTGTTAAGTGCGTCGCCAGTGGGGAGCGGGTGGTGTAGCGGTTAGCGCGCTGCGCTACGAACCTGGCGACCACGGGTTCGATTCCCACTCACGGCCAACGCCGGTGACGATTATCTGAACCGGTCCTGGGCCTCCCTGAGGTCGACTCAGCCTCAAATGAGTACCTGGTGCGGTGTTTAAACATCGCCACTGGTGTTGGCCACCCACCCCCTCGTGTGCCGTGCCGGCCTTCATAGGTGCTCGCTAACAGCACTTGCCCCAACAGTCTGTTAAAGGCTATACGGGGGATCTTTGTCTGTTGATCATAAGATGTGCGCACACTAGGGTGCTACTCAATACGCAAATGTTAAACGTGAAGTCTCAGTCTTCTTGGATCACTCCCTCCCACAACTTGTTACCCGTGGTGTAAAAGTCAACAGCTGAGAATCTCACTCCACTCTGTGCATCGTCACAGGTAGCTCGGAGTCCCCGCCCCCCACTCCCGCTCCTTCTTCTCTCCGTCTGTGCCTCTGCGTGTGTAGTGGGTTCACGGGACACGGAGACTAGGAGTAGAGGCAGCACTGTTTATTTAACGTAACAAGGGTTACACTGGAAGGGGTAACGGGCCCCTTCACCCGTATACATGCTGGGACATCCTCTAGGCTATCTAGCCTAACTCCTGTGCTCCCAGTTCCTCCAGCCACAGGCGCTAGAGGAGGCTATCTGATCTGGCCCTGGTCAAGCACAGATCACGGCACCCCATCAACCAGACCGACCCTTAAAAGGACTCAGGCTCTGAGGCTCTGAGGCCGCACCACCGGCTTACCCTGCCGGCCCTTAAAAGGACAGCGGTCAGGGAAGTCCCAGGGTCTATCTAGCCGGCCTTCCTTCTTCACTGGTTCTTCATTCTTGGCCCCAACACACTGCCCCGAGCTCTCTGGCTCCCCGCCCTTTATACCCATACACCACTGAGGGCGGGGCTATAGCGGACGTGGTTGTAGCCACCAAGGTGTGGCTGTGTGTTACCTTCCCACAATGTGTGTTGCCTTCCCACAACACCCCTACACGTGTATTGGAGCAACTGGTAATCGCTGAGTGGATGGCCGTTAAACTCACAGCAGCCTCAGTTTAACGGGAGGGTGAATAAAGCCAGGAGGGCAGTGGCCTTGAAAATAACAAACTCGAATTTCGAGTGGCACCCCTGAGTGAGCGAGTGTACATGAGCGTACATGAGCGTGCATGAGAGTGCAACGGTCCGTGAGAGAGCAGTTCCTCGAAATGTGAATTATCAGCGGTTTGGTGGCATACACGGGACTTGAGCGCACCATCGCCGCCATCGCGGGAGTCGGCCCGAGTCTGTCCGAGTCCGCCCGAGTCTGTCCGAGTCCCTCTGAGTCCCTCTGAGTCTGTCTGCGTCCGTCCGAGTCTGTCCGAGTCCGCCCGAGTCCGCCCGAGTCTGTCCGAGTCCGTCCGAGTCTGTCCGAGTCCGTCCGAATCCACCCGAGTCCGTCCGAGTCTGTCCGAGTCCCTCTGAGCCCCTCTGAGTCTGTCCGAGCCCGTCCGAGTCTGTCCGAGTCCGCCCGAGTCTGTCCGAGTCCGTCCGAGTCTGTCCGAGTCCGCCTGAGTCTGTCCGAATCCGTCTGAGCCCGTCCGACACCACCGCGGTATTTCACCATCACCGAGAAAGGTGGACAAATTATTTCCGTGTGAGAAGCGCGCAGCCACTGGAGCTGTGCATTTCAATATCTCGTCTGAAAACTCATCGCTTGAGAACTGCTTTTTGTGTTAAGTTTGTTGTCCTTCTTTCCGTATCTCTGATTAGCACGGTTGCCTACGTACGGTGCGAAAGAAGTTCAGCATGCATACAACTGGTTGACATATTGCACCCCAAGTAAAAAAAAGCCGCTTCATCACTACACTAACGATTACCCACACATTATAAAGTGTCAGAAATGTGAACATCTGAAATCACTGAAGTGCCCACGTTGTTTCGATCACATCAAACCACCTAGCTGAGTGTGACTCACCATCAATGCCGCATGTAGTGGCGTGTCAACATGGGACATGAGTAGACCAAGGTGGTTTGGTGTGGTGATGGCCCAACATATATGATTCCTAATCGTACCTTCCACCACCATTCTGTGCAGGCTCCGGGAGCATGGTACCTGCCCAGTAGTGTCTTTCGCTACCGGGCAGTAGGAGGCAGTCGCCCTCGAACAATAACGGAGGGCGGAGGAGCGACGCTCACACATCAACGAGCGGAGAGCCGGGGCGGTCGGAACAAAGCAAGTTGGCACAGCGTGGTGGAGCACAGGTGGTGCGTCTATCAGTTGTCTCAGTCGGTTAACCCATAAACATATTTTTCAAAAACTCAACACACTCGTTAACAGCGTACGGCTGGCGACGTTTTGGGCAACGGCCCTTCTGCATAGCGCACGTGCTGTGTGTTGTAGACTAACGTGCCGAGTTTTGTCGTCGTCGTCGTTGCTGTTGCTGTTAATTGTGCCGCAGCGGCATCACCAAATCATTTGCCCGACCCATAACGGCAACACCTGGGCGCCTAAATTTTGATTTAAAGCTTTCGTGACTGCAGGGATTCATATTCTTGGTTCTTTCGGTAAAGTCACGTAGAAGGGAAACAATAAAATAATAAAAATATAAAACAATAAAATTCTCACGACGTTTCGACCGCAACACAAGCAATCATCATCAGGTGTGAAAACCACAGCAAGAAAATAAAAAAAATGTGAAACGTCGTGAGAATTTTATTGTATTATATTTTTCATTATTTTATTGTTTCCCTTCTACGCGACTTTACCGAAAGAACCAAGAATATGAATACCTGCAGTCACGAAAACTTTAAATCAAAATTTTTCTTATAATATTCTTAACACCCGTGACTTGCTGCCGGCGATGGCTTCGAGACGAGGTCAAAGCTCACCGTAGCCTGGCGCGAGCGAGGTGGCGGCGTCGCTGCTGTATGCTGCTGCTGCTGCTGCTGTTGTTGTGCCGTACCTTCTCAGTGGCGCAGCACGAGTATGGGACCCCGCAGGCCGCCTTGCCCGGAGCAGAGCACAGGTGGTATGGGTTGTACTCCCAGTCCGTGTACGAATCCCCTCCGCAGCACTGAAACTGTGAGACACAAAAGATAAAGATACCCACCCCCACCCCACCCCCACACAGCCTTTAGCGGACCATTAGGGCAAGTGCTGTTAGCGAGCGCCGATGAAAGCTGGCACGGGCACACGAGGGGGTGGGTGGCCAACACCACGCCCGGCCGCCTTTGTTCCCCTGGTTCTGATGTTTTACACACCCCACCAGGTACTCATGTAAGGCTGAATCGACCTAGCGGAGGCCCAGGACCGGTTCATATATTCGTCACTGGTGTTGGCCGTGAGTGGGAATCGAACCCGGGTCGCCGGGTTCGTAGCGCAGCGTAGCGCTAACCGAGGCACCAAAATGCCAAATGTGCTTCAGGGTGCCACATGGTGGTGACGGTCAGACACCTTGAGCATTCGTGTTCACGTGGAGCTGTTTTGATCTGTGAACAGATTAGACGCAGTGAATTGCTATTATTCGTGAAAATCGAATCCCAAATCACCTTATAATGAGTTCTAAATCACCAGGTGCCTGTAAATGTACAGGCCGTATGTCAATCCACTGCTGGATGAGAGGAGACCCCCGCACCCCGTGTGGGCCACGAGGGTTGTGTGACCATAAAGTCGCCACTCTGGTCACGTGGCTTGGTGGGAGGTGGTGGGAGAACTGCAGACCAGCGGATGTTTCTTCACGGCCCTCCGCTGCCCGCAGTGCCTACTGCACCCGTGTCTGGTTAGCGTGCAACACAAGTCAACCCGTCCGAGCACTATCCAGGCTCAACGCCACTTAGCTTCTGAGAATTTGATGAGATCAGGTGCATGCTGGGCGATTGGCTCACAGGAAATAACAAAGTCATTGGTCAGTTTAACACGTAGGGTTTTCGCGACCAATATCATCCATAACACAGGTTTTTTTTTTTTAAGTTAGATCGCGTAAATATATAAATGCGTCGTTAAAACCCGCCACCACCCGACACAGCCAACTAGTAAGGGTTGTCACGTAAACAGAACGTGGCCAATTTATCACCAGTACAGCACTAACCGGTGTCTTGGAGAGCCAATCCACAACATTTACTGTGAGCCAAACCACAACATTTACAATCTGAGTACCGGTGTGCTGTACTAGTGACGAATTGGCCACGTTCTGGTTACGTGACAACCCTTACTAGTTGGCTATGTCAGGTGGTGGCGGGTTTTAACGACACAACGTTCGTATATTTACGCGATCTAACACCAAAAAAAACCCCTCTCTTAGTATTGTGTTATTTTATTTTATCAATTTATTATTTTATTCTCATCCTACGTGACTTTACCGAAAGAACCAAAGAAGATGAAGTCATTGGTGTTTGAAATGTCGATTGCCCAGGCAGAGAACCATGCGATACGAGAGGGGATGGTGCTCACAAGTTTACACGGATGGGTTACGACCCCCATTTGCTATACGGCCGTGTTTTGGCCACCTCACAGCCTGCATTCTGACCAAACTAGCAACGGCGAAGCACTTGGAGAGCCAGTATAACAATCACTGTCTACTTTGCGTCAAGCGCGCCTCGTTTAACAAATGACTTACATCAAAGGTGATTGGGATTTGACTCACAACCTTACAACCATTAGCCCGCCTACTCTAGAAAATGAGACGTCATAATGAAGACGTACAAAAAAAAAATCAGTAACAGGATAATAAAAATAATAATTGTGAATGGATGGATCGCGTGGTGGTCAGAATGTTCCCCGCGGAGCCAGATTGCACCAAGTCAATAGTTGTATTCCGACAGCATGCTAATTTGCGCAGGGAATTATCATCGCAGCCTTTTGCTCTGAAGAAACAAATACGTTTGAGAGCCTGCGCTCGTACTATTATCATGATTGTTTTTGTTTATTGATACGAGTAGACCACTGTGTGTCGGTGTGAGCAGTCGACCCGACGTTTTAGGCATTCCACCATCCAGTATGTTTAGAAGTACAGCGCCCATTTGATTTATGTATGTACCTTGAACTTCTTTAGCACCATACGTAGCCAACCGCGCTACTCGGAGGTATGGGGGAAGGACAACAAGCTAAACACAAAAAAGCAGTTTTAAAGAAATTAGTTTTTAACCTAGATGATTTAAAAGTGGCTTCCTGATATCGAAAAGAAGAGCATTCCAGACGGCCGCAGAAGCGCATTTGAGAGCACGCAATACGGTGACCGTCTTTATTTAGACTAACGACCTTTTATTTATTACGTAAAAAAAACGCAATTATTACAATACACTTATATCGGTGAAATTCCGGTAATCACATTCGTAAGAGAACAGGCCCAATGTGGGTCCCCTCTCTTTTGTGAGGTCCTGGGCACATTGCCCTTGTTGACCTCTGCCAGCCCACCCTTCCCGCTGGGTGGCCAATGGGTGTGAGAGCCAAAATCCGCCACTTAAACAAATGACCCACAATTCAATTATAAAACAAATTGTGGAAAAAAGCAAAATACATGTCCGTATGCCACCGTGGCCACCTACATGTTCATTGCAGAATGTTAGTTTTCTAAAATCCATCCAACCTGCTCGTTTGGCATGTTGTTTAATGAAAACGTTTTTTGTTCTTTCTTCAATAATTGCCCTCGGTGTACATATTTTGAGTTGTGTCCCTCCAACACAATCTTCTTCCCCTGTTGAGGAAACTTACTGGTTGCATTGTTTTGCTCATTTTTATTTTTCGCGCAAATTTGCATCTTTCTTTGTTATATGATCTGTTATTTTCAACTTGTAACACGCCGCGCAGCATTAGTTAATTCTTGTACAGGCACGAGGAGGGACCACAGACATGTGGGAAAGCACCAGGTGGTGAATCCGCACTACCAACAATTGCCAAAGCTCTGTAGGTCCTCTATATATAAAGTTGTTATCGGCCAATACATGAGTGTTCGTACATGCCAGAGGAAGCCAGAGCACCCAGAGAAAACTCACACGTGGGAGGGGGAAACACTCTATCCCACACAGATGGAACTGGTGGAGTCCACATTTGCTGTACTGCCTTCTCTTGGCGAGTCAGGGTGTGGCCCATCGATGCCCACTGGAAGGGAGTTTCGTAATATTTGTGTGCGATACACCAACCGTGTGCCACCACCAAACTTGTTAAGTTCATCAGTCATTTCCATTGTCACGAGCACATCTGAGGTGTTTCATCATTTCTCTGTCAAGGTTTATGCCTTTATTTCTGTCATGGTTATCATGCCAAAAAGTGGCAGCATTATGTGGCCAAAAAAGCTATACAAATCCGGCCGGAATTCAAAATGAAATTAAGGTAATTTTATCCAGCTATTTATAGAAAAATATTACATGGCTTAAATAAAACAATTTTGTCGATGAAGAGGTTGACGTTTCAGATGTCACACTTGAATAATGGAACACCGCCCTTCGAAATTTAAAAATAGGAATGCTCTTGGACCAGTTAGGACATCTGTGGACATCATCAAAGAAGCGGGACTAACTGTTTTAACACAATTAACGAAGCTATTTCATAAATGATTCCACACAAATGAAATACTACCTACATCATTCAGTCTTCTGTCCAGAAATAGGAGCACAAATATAATCTGGAGAATTAGAGAACCATCGCCTACTATCAGACACACACATAATCTGTGCACAATCTGTAAAAATAATTATTGATATTGAAACCGACCACGTGAGTGAGCTGGATTTATAAAGATCCCTTAAGTACCATCAATCAAATTTTCAAACGCTTAGCTCTTTGTAACCTAAAAACATGGAATTGTTTTTGTATGCAATGGGATATTCCTCCTTTGGGCCAATTCAAGTTGGGGGGGATGCTAATTTTTCTGACAAATTTGAGCCCTGGGGGGAGGTGGACCCCAAGTCGCAAGTGTGCACAGATTGAATTTCAATCGAGGTCACACGAAACAGAAAACTCATTCCGTCACGTTCCCGCGCTAATTCGTGTACACGTCGGCGTATCGTGGAGATCTTTTAGAATCTGCGCTTACGCAAGGGATGCACTCTTATCACGCCCACAGACTCGCAGTTTCGTGCTAACACAGCGCGCGCGCGATTATATGGTTGCGCTGGATATTAGAATTGGGAACCCTTGCTGATGTCAAACTGATCCAACTGACACGGTCCATAAACTGCCTAAATTGAGTCCCAGCAGGAGGCAGTTGGTGACCTTTCTTAACGAGGGTCATCTTTTACATCGCCCCAACATCAACAACAATAACAAAAACGAATTGATCAATTGCCAAGTCAAGCGGCCCGGCGTCATTAAATGCAATAGGAAACAAATTTAAGTTTCAATTTCCAGGGCAAAAGGGCCAAGCAAATGTATAAACGAACATGTTTATTGTCAAAATGAAGAAGCCACACGAACCACAAACGGACAAATCTATTTGTGTTTAGGCTTGTGAAGGGACAGCCCTGCAATTCCTTGCTCGTGCCACTGCTGTCAGAAGGGCAATTCAAGTAGTCGGCTTATGGAGAAACTGAACCATGTCACCAGTGGATTGTGGAATTCCCATCACGGATTCATGGTCACGAACAGAGATGATCTCTCCATAATGCTCATTCGAGCATGGAAGGAACTTTAAAATGTTTTTGTATTGTCTGGTGAAGTATGTTTTTTGTTTGGTCATGTTAATCGGGTTCATAAGACACTTTTCAAAAGCAAGGGAACACACACACAAAAGCCACCTGCGACTATTATGGACGTGTAATGGAAAATGGATTTGCATGTGAAAGGATGATGTGCTATTTCACGAACAATAGCTGTGACTGCCGAGGCGAACCCTGATATCAATTTTAGAGGCGAGACAAGACTCGCGGGGTCCACGAAGGCGAGGAAAGCTTAATGCCAGCATTTTCACGTCTGAGCTTTACGCGGTTCAACAGTCCATACTCTCCCTGCAGCCTTCACGATAACGGCATGTGCAAGAACGACTCCAATACCTGCACTGAACCTGTGCAATAAGGTGAAGCCTTGAAGGATTCATCGATCCACTTCAAAACGTCTCTACGCTGCACGTCAGAATCACAACATTAA